CTTCTCTTTATAATAACATCTTAGTTTATTCATCTTAAGTTATAAGTAGTAAGTTATCATCACTGTATGTAGATATGACTGCAAAGATAGTGTACTGATTCTGTGGTTTGGAGCAGCAAGTGCTATCTGAAAAGTTCACTATCATTTGGAACCACACCTTTTTGACATACAGGCTGCCCAACATATTTACAATAGATCATGAAAGTGTTAATAGTGAGATTTTCTAATGCAAATAGCAACAATATAATATAAACCTATCAGTCTTAAGGATTTATTATTGTAACATTTTCAAGAATGGAAAAAATAAAACTCTTATCAACTCTCAGTGCTTCTTTATTTCTAAGGAATTAAAACTTAACATTAGGGACTTCCCTGGTGGCACAGTGGTTAAGAACCCACCTGCCAATGCACGGGACACGGGTTCGATCCCTGGTCTGGGAAGATCCCACATGCTGCGGAGCAACTAAACCCATGCGCCACAACTACTGAGCCTGCGCTCTAAAGCCCGCAAGCCACAACTACTGAAGCCCACGTGCCTAGAGCCCGTACTCTGCAACAAGAGAAGCCACTGCAGTGAGAAGCCTGCACACCACAACAAAGAGTAGCCCCCGCTCACTTCAACTAGAGAAAGCCCGTGCGCAGCAACGGAGACCCGATGCAGCCAAAAATAAAATAAATAAAAATAAATATATTTATTTTAACCCACAAAACTTAACATTAACTCAAATGGGTATAATTATGTGTTCTATAGTGCCAGTACAAGAACATCTCTTTCATTACTTGGCAATTCTTGTCTTCTGCATAATATTTGAAAAAGTGTATTTCAATTTACAAAATTTTCTACGCTGCTGCCATTTAATGTCCCTCGAAGGAGCATCCAACTGTACTGGGTTCAGTAACTTCGGAGGTCCACCATAACATTTATATATTTCAGCTCGCTATTCAGCATAAGGTGTAGCTGCCTTGAACCCTGGCCTGGAATTACTGTCAGAAGTCATAATAAAACTGTTTTCAGGCTAACTTTAAATTTGTCTCACTGTACAAACTCCAAGGACACTATTATGTGTGAAGACCCAGTATGTTTTCAAAAGTGCCTGGGAGGAGAAAGGAACAGTGTGTCTGGCATGTTGTACCACAGAAAAGAAACACTTAAGAACTGGTAAATAATGAGAACTAAAAACAGCAACAAAACAGTAGTAAGTCTATGGCCATAACGAATTCAAACAACTTGCTTAATCTTAACACCATAAAGAGTTCAACGGTTGCTTGCCCCTGGTAGCACAATGAATGTGGAAAGCAACTATATAAACTTGATCTTGAAACATCAGCTAAATAAAATTTAAAGATATTATAATGATTTATCACTAAAATAATTTACCACACACTTTTATTCCAGATAATCCATTTGAAATAGTCAACAAACACCTGCATTTTACTGCAAAATAGAAAAATCTCCTATAGGGACTTCACTGGTGGCGCAGTGGTTAAGAATCTGCCTGCCAATGCAGGGGACACAGGTTTGAGCCCTGGTCCGGGAAGATCCCACATGCCACAGAGCAACTAAGCCCGTGTGCCACAACTACTGAGCCTGCACCCTAGAGCCCACGAGCCACAACTACTGAGCATGCAAGCCACAACTACTGAGCCTGCACTCTAGAGCCCACGAGCCACAACTACTGAAGCCTGTGCGCCTAGAGTCCGTGCTACGCAACAAGAGAAGCCAACACAATGAGAAGCCCACGCACAGCAATGAAGAGTAGCCCTGGCTCGATGCAACTAGAGGAAGCCTGTGCACAGCAAAAAAACCCAACGCAGCCAAAAAATAATAATAAAAATAAATCAAACAACAAAGACTAGATGTTTCCAAAAAATTATTTTAAAAAAATCTCCTGTAAAATAAATAACTCTTTTGTACCTGATGATCAATTTCCCACAAACCTTTCCCTTTGAAAATGGCTAATTACAAACTGCACTTAAAGTCACAGCATAAACGAAAATCCCCACAGTACTCCTCACTAACAGAACATGTTCTGAGGCTCCAACAATACTGTATGCATTTGAGAAACAAACTCATTCTCTTAATGTGTGAAAATAACAATAGTTAATATTTAACATATTGATACATACTATGTGTTAGGCACAATGTGAGAGGCTTTACATACTTCATCTCTAATCCTCACAACTCCATGAGTTAAGCATAACCACCCCCATTTTATAGATGAGGAAACTGAACTGAGGCTCATAGAGGGGTCCTGCAGCTATTAAGAGAATACAGATGCCTCCTACATTTTCATCACCCTTTCTGTACATAAGGCACGTGAGATTTAAAGCATTATAGTAATTTATCAATTACCCAAACAAGTTTTAGAAAATGCTATGCTGAGTAATGTATGCTATGGGTACTTTTTGGGGGGAGCTGAGGGGACTCACCCTTCAGGGTTATACTCAGGGTTTCATTTTTTAATTCTAACACACCATCCAAATTTCTTTCAGGTCCTGAATCTGTGGATCTATGTCAATTCTCTATCTAGGTATATTAGTTATGGAATATGGAAGATCATTAAACCATTTTAGTCTTCTCAGACCCTGAAGAAATGGTCCAATGCTTAGTCAAAACTCAGCTATTTCTTCAGAACCCAAGTTTATTCTGGTAACAAGTAAGCCTCAGGACTGGGCCCGGGGTTTTACCTCTGATTACAGACATGTCCACAACAAATTATAGAATCCATTATTTAAGAACATATTCACCCCCCACAAAGAAGCAAGGGCTGAGAAGATGAGCACTCAATCAACGCGTGAGAAAGAAGCATTCCCTTTCAAATATGGCCAAATATGTCAAATTTTGTTAGCATTCCCTCTCAAATATGGCCAAATATGTCAAATTCTGTTAAGCTGAGGTGTGTCCAATTAACCTAGTCACACTGGTATCCTACTATGTTAAATATCACACAGATTTTACTGTTTCAAATATTACAAGTAGGTGGGCTGCCAGTTTGACTTTAACCATCTTTTCATTATTCCAAAGTTCTTGTAATCATAGACATTTAGGCTAAAAGCAGAGGGTTTCTTCAGAATTACAATCAGGCAAACCATAACCTCAGAGATATATACATACATGCATATACATATATACAAATATACACATATATATATACACACACACAGTTTTTTTTTTTTTCACGAAAATCATATTAGAAAAATCATCTGCTATTTACTAAGCTCTCTTTGTCTTTTACTTAGTTGACTTGCTACCCCAATTATACGCGGGACCTGATAGCCTCAACAGTTTGTTTCTGCATAAGAGCAGAGGCACTCTCCTCTGCACCTAGCAACAAAAAAAGAGAGCGAGGAAAAACTTCAATCACACAAGAATCTGGGGGGCAGGGCCTAAGGCTCACCCATAATGTGTGTAAATCTGATCCCCGAAGTCCGTGGCACTGACAGTCATTCAACTTTCTTTGTAATATTCCCATTGTGCTTTTTCTGGTACCACACGCAAAATGCACCACCTAACATTTCACCAAACGGTCGGAATGCCTTACTTCCTTTCTAAAAATTCTCGGGGTGCAAGGCCGGGGGTGACGGCCGTGGGGTGGGCCGGGGAGCCTGAGGCACCGGCGCCAGCCACCCGGGAGAGCAGAGCCACGCACGGCACCCGCTCCGGGCAGGCCTGCTGTGGCTGGTTCCCGAGTCCCTAGGGCTGCAAAAGCAAGCAGCAGCAGCCATGGCAGGGACTTGGGAACCTTTCCCCTGCCTCCTCCGCTAGGCCTCGAGGGGTTTGCTTTTCACATGGCCCCCGGGTGGGGGCGGTGGGCACAAGGTACTGGATGCAGATGCAGTCGCAGCCGCAGCGGCGGGCCAAGCGAGCCGGGGCTCCCTCGGAACCCGACCTCCCGGCGAGGCTGGCAGCCGCAGCACCTCGGCGGGGCCCTGACTGGAGCGCCGACCGCTCGGCGGGGAAGGCCACCTTCGCACACACCACATCTTCTCCCCTGACTGCCTCCTTCTCCGTTAGCGCTACCGGTTGGCGGGCGGGGGAGGGGAGCGAAGCGCGTTATTCCCGGGGAGCTGGAGGGGGGAAGGGAGGGCATCTCTTACCCGCGTTACTGAGGAGGAGGAGAAGGAGGAGGCGGTTGGAGCGCGGCGCGGCGGGGCGACGGCGGGGCTGGGTGGGTGCAAGTAAGAGTCTTACGAAAGGGAATTAACCCCATCACCAGCCCGGACACCGGCTCCAGCGGCAGCCACGGCTGGCAAAATCCCGCCCCTTCCCACCACGCACTAGCCCCGCCTCTTCGTTCTCTTTGAGGGACAGTAGACAAATCATAGGTTGTACATCCTCGGAGTGACATGAGGATCATCCAATCACGCCTGAACAAACTGCCTTCTCTCCACCCCTTCATCTCCTCCCGGGCCGCGGGAGAGCCAGGACAAGTCTTTCTCCACCCACAAGGGAAAAAGAGCCAATCGGCTGTAAGTATCCGCCCTTGAAGGACGCAAAGGACAACCAATGATAAACCTAAGAGGACAGCCATTTTGCCCACTTGTAAAAGAGCCACCTTTTCCCACGAGTCGGAGCCCGAGGTGGGGGAGTTCTGGAAGTTTTTACTGACCTGGAGGTATTGGAAAGACAAACATATTTTTTCAAGGAGTATTTATATTGCTTTATAGGAGTAAAGGAAAATTTTCGTCCTCCATGTGGTGGGAAGTGGGGACTGCTGCTTAAGGACTTGGCTCCTCCCCTCAGCAGTAACAGGCTCTAAGCCGAACACCTGGTTCTCCAGCCTCAGCGAGGAAAGGCGGGGTGATTGCCCTCTTCGGCTTGCAGCCGACTACAGTTCCCAGCGTGCTTTGCCTCCGCCCATTTCAGCTCATCCGTTTGCTTCCCGCAAGGCCTGACGGGAATTGTAGTTCTTGGGCGGTACCCACGCCGCCTCATTGGCCAATGAGAAAGGACAAACTTTTGAATGATTTGGAGTTTGGGGCGGGGAAGTAGTCGCAGGGCTGTGGTGAAGCCTTTTCACCAACCTAGCAGAAGAAAGAAGGGTTACAAGCGAAAGGTAGTCGAGGAAGAGTTTTCTAAGAACGCCGTAGGAGTTTTAGATTCCTGGTATTTAGACTCTCTTACTTTCAGTTTGTGTCTTTGAAGTGACTTCCGCTTTGCGGCGGACACAGGCCAAACCTGTGGCGGGAGTTGGAGATTCTGCAGCGAATACACCAGGTGTGGCCGTCTGGGAGCGGCGTGGCGGGCAAGTTGGTAGTTTCTTACGTGAGAGATAGCTGAATGGAATTTAATTGCATTTTAATTAAGAGTGGGTGAAATGGGATGGGGGGAGGGTAGTTCCCAAGTCCAGAATGCCATGCTCCACCGCACTCTTCACTCCCCGAGTCTCACTTTTTTTGTCTTTTGAGTTGCTCAGGATTAGATTGCACCCATATATTTGTGGAGGGTGCCTCTAAAACCTTCACGTCTTCAGTTTGACTAAAAAGAACCGGTTCAGAAGTTCTGAGCTAACTCCTCCCACTCTTACAAACCAACTTCTAAAGTCTGGTTCGAAGGAGAAACGCTACAGAAGGGCTCATGATTGATAAGAATCGTCCCATTCTTTTTTTGGTTTGTTTGTTTTTAATGTAAAGCATACATTAAACAAGTGTCGACAGGTCATTAGAAAGACGTTGGAGCCAAAAGCCTAACAAGCTTAGCACGTTAGGCCCTGGTTTATGCCCCCCCCCCCCGCCGTCGGGGGACAAAGTTGAGTGTGTTTTTACTGTTGGACGTTCCGTTTGAGGTTGCTTGGGAAACTCATTGAACAAAAGAGATGCAGGTGTTATCAGGAAAGGCCTTCCCTCCCCAAACCTGATGGCTCTCATTTTAAACTCTTGCCAATCATTTTGACTGAGACTTTCTCAGATAAATTCTAACTCAATTTTCCCTGCGGTTTCACTAAGACTTTCTCTTAGAAATCATCTTGTAAATATTTATTGAGCACTTATACTGTATTAGGCACTATGCCAGACTTTGCGGGGAGAGCAGTGCCAAAAAGACAGGCTCCTCGTCCAAAAGTAGTGAGGAAAACAGGCCAAACAAAATGAATCGTAGTGTTACTTGTTCTTCTAATCTCTCTCTAAACTAAGTCAAATCTTCATTAGTCATGTTTTGTAGTTACTTTTTCCATTCTACTTGTGGACTGAAATAAGCATATTTTCTTTATTTTTTTTAAATTGAAGCACTAATAAGTCTGTGTCCTATACTCATGAGTTGTGTTTATGCATCAACTAGATGGTAAATTTTATGTTGTAATCCTTCTAGATATAGGAATGTAATCATACATTTCAGCCACAGTGTTCTGGTTCCACCAAAGAAAGTGTTGACTCTTGCTTTTTAATGCAGCTGGGAATTTCATACAATTAAACAGAAGAGTCTTATATAAATGCTTATTTTTTTTTGTCGTGAGGGCTTCTAGTGTAAATCAAGTCAATAAATAGTAATGGCCATCATTTTATTGAGTGTTTCCTCTGAGCCAGGAATGGTGTTAAGTGCTTTCAGTACATGTTCCCTTCAGCAATGGGCAAGTATTGTTCTGTGATGTTTTATACTTGAAGAAGTTGGAGTTCAGTGAAGTTCAATAAGACTTAAAAAAATTTTTATTGTGGTACAGTTGATTTAAAATGTTGTGTTCGTTACTACCTATAACACAGTGCATCAGTCATACATATACATATATCCACTCTTTTTTAGGTTCTTTCCCCATATACGTCATTACAGAGTATTTAATAGAGTTCCCTGTGCTATACAGTACGTCCTTATTAGTTATCTATTTTATATATAGTGGTATGTATATCAATCCTGATCTCCCAGTTTATCCCTCCCCACCCTGAATAAGACTTTAAGGCCTTGATTAGAAAATTTTGGAACTGAGATTCATATCCAGATCTGTCTCATTCCTGAGCTCTTAACCACTGCTGATTTCTGCCTCTCAAATATTTGTTGATCCCCCAATATGTGCCAGGCATATAGTGAGAAATGTGAAATTCCATCCTAGGATTCTGGAACCAGTGGTGGCAGTCACTTCCTCTTTTGAGCTATCCTTTGGCATCACCTAATACATACTCATTGTATTTAAAAATACAGGAAAATATAAAAAAGAAAGTAATCTGTATTCCTGTTAAAGATACGACTATTAAATCTTGCTGAATATCCTTACAGATCCCTAATAGGTACAGACGTGTGTATGAGTAGTATAATACTACTTTGCTCTTTTTTTAAAAAAATATTTATTTATTTTGGCTGCGCTGGGTCTTAGTTGCAGCATTCAGGATCTTCGTTGCCTTGTGAGGGATCTTCATTGCATCCTGCAGGATCTAGTTCCCTGACCAGGGATTGAACCTGGGTCCCCTGCATTGTGAGTGTGGAGTCTTAACCGCTGGACCACCAGGGAAGTCCCCTACTTTGCTCTTTTTGTAAACTGTTTTTGACTCAAAAATAGGCTGTGGATATGACTGAAAATCAGTAGCTTTTTAAAAAATAAATTTATTTATTTTATTTATTTATTTTTAGCTGCATTGGGTCTTCGTTGCTGCGTGCAGGCTTCCTCTAGTTGTGGTGAATGGGGGCTACTCTTCGTTGCAGTGCTCGGGCTTCTCATTGCGGTGGCTTCTTTTGTTGCAGAGCACGGGCTCTAGGCGTGCAGGCTTTAATAGTTGTGGCACGCGGGCTCTAGAGCGCAGGCTCAGTAGTTGTGGCGCACGGGCCTGCATTGGCAGGCGGATTCTTAACCACTGTGCCACCAGGGAAGTCCTCAATATCAGTTTTGATGGCTCTCTGGTATTACATTGTACGTTTCTAACATAACCAGTTCCTAGCTGATGGATATTTACATTATTTTTGATTAACTTCTTTTTTGATTGTGCTAAAAAATATATAAACTTTACCATCTTAACCAATTGTAAGCGTACAGAACAGTAGTGTTAAGTATATGCACCTTGTCATGCAACAGATCTCTGGAACCTTTTCATCTTGCAAAACTGAGACTCTGTACTCGTTGATCAACAACTTTTCTTTTCCTGCCTCCTGCAGCCCCTGGCAACCACCATTCTACTTTCTGTTTTCTAAGAGTTTGACTTTAGATGCCGCATATAAATGGAATCATGTAGTATTTGTCCTTCTGTAACTGGGTTATTTCACTTAGCGTCATGCCCTCATTGTTCATTCATGTTGTGGCATATGACAGGACTTCCTTTTTTTTTTAAGGCTGAATTAATATTCCATTGTTTGTATACACCATATTTTATTTATCCATTCATCTGCCAGTGAACATTTAGGTTGCTTCCACTTCTTGGCTATTGTGAATAATGCTGCAGTGAATGGGTGCGTATATCTCTTCAAGATATGTTTTTAGTTCTTTTGGATATAGGTGTTCTTTCGGATATATGTATATACGTATGTATACTTCTGGGTGTATATATATATATACACATGTATTATTCACTTATTTTTGGCTGCGTTGGGTCTCCTTTGCTGTGCATGGGCTTTCTCTAGTTGTGGCGAGAAGGGGCTACTCTTCGTTGTGGTGTGCAGGCTTCTTGTTGTGGTGGCTTCTCTTGTTGCGGAGCACGGGCTCTAGGCACGCGGGCTTCAGTAGTTGTGGCACGAGGGCTCAGTAGTTGTGGCTCACAGGCTCTTGAGCGCAGACTCAGTAGCTGTGGCACACAGGCTTAGTTGCTCCGTGGCATGTGGGATCTTCCCAGACCAGGCATCGAACCTGTGTCTCCTGCATTGGCAGGCGGATTCTTAACCACTGTGCCACCAGGGAAGTCCCGATATATACATGTATATACATGTACACGTACATGTATATGTATACTTCTGGGTATGTATATACACGTATGTATACCCAGAAGTAGGATTGCTGGATCAATTATTAACTTTTAAAAGCAATGCTGTCATGAACACCATTTTTGTATGTTTGCCTGATTATCCCTTAAATCTAACTTTTTAGAAATAGTATTATTTAGTGTTATTTATTAATACAATACTCTGTAATTCCTAAATTGCTCTACAGAAAGGTTATGCCTATTTTCTTTCCTAACAGTGTGTGAGAGCACCTGTTTCCCATCTTTTATTCTATCCAGTATGATTGTGAAAAGTGATCCCTCATTTATTTAATTCTGTCTAGTTGAATTCTGTTTATGTTGAGCATCTTTTATGTGTATATTGTCCATTGTTGTCTACTCTTTTTTTTTAATAAATTTATTTATGTATTTATTTTTGGCTGGGTTGGGTCTTCGTTTCTGTGCGAGGGTTTTCTCCAGTTGCAGCGAACGGGGGCCACTCTTCATCGCGGTGAGCAGGCCTCTCACTGTCGTGGCCTCTCCTGTTGCGGAGCACAGGCTCCAGACTTGCAGGCTCAGTAGTTGTGGCTCACGGGCTTAGTTGCTTCGCGGCATGTGGGATCTTCCCAGACCAGGGCTCGAACCTGCGTCCCCTGCATTGGCAGGCAGATTCCCAACCACTGCGCCAGCAGGGAAGCCCTGTTGTCTACTCTCTTGAATAGACTGTTGTTATCTATCATAGTCCCTTAGTAATTTTAAAGAAATTACTTCCTAGGTTTTTAACTCCTTGTCATGTATTTTGCCTTTATTCTCATTTTGAAATTTGTCTTTTTAACTTTTTAATGCTGTTTTTCTATGACATAGTGTAAATTATTTTAGTGTCGAAATTTATGTCTTTTCCCTTAGGGTTTCTAGATTATTTGTGATGCTTAGAAAAAGCTTTATGATGATTAGAAGTAGATAATAAAACATAATATGTATATATAATTTTTATTTGTTGTTACATTTGGTTTCACAATATATATACACTTGGTTTTGTTTGGATTCTCTACTCTGTCATTGTTCTGTCTTTTCTGTGACTTGTACCATACCCATTTTCTTAATTTCTATAACTTGATAGTATGTTTTGATATCTGGCATGTGTGGTGTGCTTCCACTTTTTTAGACATTGTCTTGTCCCTTGTCACATTTTCTTGTATTTTGGTGTCATTTTGTCAAATTAAAAACAAACATCTGAAAGAACCAAAAGAAAACAAAAGAAACATCTGAAAGAAACAAAACAAAACAAACATCTGCACTTTTATTTTTTAAATTTTTTGGCTGCTTCACGTAGCTTGCCAGATTTAGTTCCCCAACCAGGGATTAAACCCGCGCCCCCTGCAGTGGAAG